TGGCACAAAATAAGTGATACATATTTTAACTAATACTATTGTTTACTTGAAAAAAGACTAGTAGGCCATGATTGCTTCCATTTAACTTGTCATCCCGAGTAAGAGGATAGTTTATCCAACTCATCAGCTTCAGAGGGGTTTATTTCACTTTTTATATTTTATTTAAAATGTTGTCCCTCCCCCTGCCCCCGGTGCTCATTCTAAGAAATTCTTTTTTACCAGTGCTTATTACCAGTTTCCTTCTACACATAATTCTTAGTTTGCTTTATATGTGTTACATGTTTTGTATGTATTATTCCTTTTTAAAAAAGAATTTTATATAATAATTCCATTTTAGTGGCTTTTAAACAATCAGTTCTATGAGTCTGTGCTACGCAAATGAGGATATGTAAATATTTTAGATGTGCACTTACGAGAGCTACGGCATATAACCTGTTATCTTGGTTATATATTTCCACTTTACCCACTTTTAACTAATACTCATTTACAGTCTTTTTCTAGATTATGGTTGATTAAAAGTACTAGACCATATAAATACAAGTATGACCATACGTTGCTTTTAAGAATAAATGATCTCCCAGTAACGTGGTCTAAGTAAAATGTTCTCTTTTTTAATTATGTAGTCCTCCTCGCCATCCTCATCACAGCCTCATTCTAGCCACTGCAGAACGAAGGCCTCATCATTGTGTCACCATGCATCCCTGCCCTGGGGCAAACGTAGCCATGTAGACCCTGCAAAGGCTACCAGTCCATCTCTCCGTGTTCGTCGCTGGCGACCCTTCTTACGCCTACCATCTTTGGGTCTCCATTCTGTTGTAAGTTTAGTCAATCTTCCATCTCTTCTTCCAGTGCAAAGGGCAGTTCATTTTTTTTCCTTAAGCTTCTTGAGTTCTTCAGGGTGCTTTTCTCTTGGTTCACTCAACCATTAGCTTTTCTCCCCCGATAAGATTGCAAGCATACCTCCATGCTTTGCAGTCTTGCTTGACTTCACCGGTGCCTTGGTGAACATCCATCTTTCCACTCCATATCCTGCCAACATAAGAATGTCTGCCTTTTGATGAGTACTGATCGACATTCATGATAATGTTTAAGTTCTGTCAGTTGTTAAAGTGAGTATGTATTCTCTTGCCCTTCATCTTTCCAATTTCATTTAGTTGACTCAGGTCAACAAATGCTGTGTACCTTCTGAGTTCTTTACCATCTCTTACTTTTTTTTTTCCTCATGTTTCTGAACATGACTTTAGTCTCTTGTCATGCTCTGGGTTGCTTTACTTACTCTATTCTGAATCTAACCCTTCATGGTGTAGGGTGTTTCATCCAAGCTATTTTATTCCTTGAGGTGGCTCAGGTACTTGGTTTAATCTTGATCCAGTCTTCCCTGCCTATTCAGTTTCTAAACATCTTTCCAAGTAAAAGGTGAAGATTTTTTCCTTGTGGATTGTTAAAGGCTTCCCACAAATTTTATGATTTCTCCTTCTTAGGTAGAAAGTGTTAGTACACTATTAAAGAGTATATATGTTCTTGTAATTTTGCTAATTAAATATTTAGGTTAATGATGGAATTCTAATAATTTTTATAATTGAAATAAACTTCAGGATTTAGCAACTATACCTCTTGTCTCTCTGATATTTGGGATTATTAGTGGCAATGACTATGTGTTGGTAGAGCCTATCTATTTGTTATATCGGAAAGATTTGGTGCATTGCCATATATTTATAAGATACTTGACACTTCCATAAATCATCATGCCTTTTGAAGCCAGAGGAAGTCTGATTACAAATAATTTTAATGCTTAAAAAAAAGTCTGTGTCAAACATTCTTTCCTCCCTTTATTTATTCTTCTAGAGCTATACGCAAATCATGAAGTGGAGTCTTGGCACTTTACCCTAAACATCTGCTTCTACCAAATACCAGTATGGTCATCAAAAAAGACTTTCATTTGTGCTGAGTATCAACAAACTAGTGTCTCTGTATTTCATTATCCTCATGGGGTCACAATGTGCATTTATCATTTTTGCTCATTTATCATTTGATATTTGTTGCTTCCCTGCTGTGCCAGTTTGTACAGTCGGAGATATAAGGTGAATTAAATGATCAGAGTAAAACCCTAATTTTGTAAATTCTGACTTGGACACGGTTGTTCTAAATATGTGTAAATTCCTTTGTACTTAAAATACTCTAAATAGAAATGGACATGTCATAAAAATTGTTTTTTTCAGGTTTATATATTTTTATATAATAGCGATCTTTGTTTCACATTAATTCCATAGTTTTATAGTTCCATAAATATTCATAGTCTAGTGGTTAAGCACATGGATTCTAGAACAACACTGCCTAGGTTTTAACCCAAATTTCATCACTTACAAGCTTTGTGATATAGAGCATTATTATTTAATGCTTCTGTTCCTCAGTTTTCTTGAGAATAAAATGGGTGTAATTATATTACCTATCTTGTAGGTTTCTATGACAGTTAATTGGTTAGTACATGTAAAGCACTTAAAACAGTGCCTGGTATATATTAAGTACCATACAATTATAAATTAAATTTGAACTGTACTTTTTTAAAATTTAAAATTTCTATTTAGTATTTAACTTCTATTGAATTGGTATGTTATATTACTTTTTAATTCTTTGAGACAAGTATTTTATTCTAAATTAGGGAACTTTATAAAAATAATATGTAAATGTTGGCAAAAATGATCTAATAGAACTTCTAGTTTTTGCCTTTTGCTTAGTTATTGGTCATTTTTTGAAATGAAAAACTTGTCAGAATTTTCTTTTTATTTATTTATATTTTGGGGTTGAATAATTTTTAAGCAATGGGTAGTTTCAGGTTTTTAAGCAATGGATAATCGCATATTTCAGATTTTCAGACCAATTAAAGTAGACCAAAGGAAAAGGCTCATAACAGGTACTAACACAATTTTGAGTTGCTAGATTTAGAGATTTCTTACATTTGTCATAATGTAGTATTAATATTGTAACAATACAGAATGTGTAGTAATACTTGATAGCTTACAAAGTACTTTAATGCATTCCACTTAAATGTCAAAACAGATAAGAAAACCAGTGCTCACAGGGATTGGGTACATGTTCAGGTCTCTGACTCCAGTTATACTATTTTTATTTGCAGCACAGTTGTATTTTATTTACTGACAAAATATGAAAAATGGAAGCTATAAGATGTATTATTCTTATGAAGAGATGGTATTAAAATAATTAAAAAATTTTGAAAACATAATAGCTCAAAAGATTTCAAATACTTCATATCCTGTTGGAGAATTGTATCTTACAATGAAAAAACAAGACCCTTTCGTAGTTAGTTAAAGAATCCTTTCTAGCATTTTTTAATAGAATTGAATTTATAGTTTGTAAAATAGCCTAGGTTTAGCCTTGAAAAATTGGATTGGCTTCTGGTCACTGGTAAAATGAGGATATTGGACTGAGTGATCACTCATCTATTTGAGACTCTGATCAGGAAAGTAAGGAAACTCATTATCACCATCTTAAGTTATTTGAAGAAATACCATGTTCAGAAGCTCTTAGACTCTTTATAAAATGATGGAAAACACTGGGAAGCATATTATAGCCTCAGCATGAGGAATAACTAACAAAACTGTCAAAGATGGACTGGCTTATCTCAGCACCTAGTGACAGCTCCCTGTTGTTGGAGGGGCTGTCAGACGTGCAGGGGCTGTGGAAGGGAGGAGTCTAACAGCAGTAAATCGAGGTATCCTCCCAACTGCAGAGTCCTTTAGTTACATATTGAACTTAGAAAAAGCTAGTTTGCCACCGCTTTTTTGTGTGTGGTTCTCTCATTCATAGACTGGAGGGAAATAATTTCTGAAGAATAAAGTGAGATTACGTGAGTTGCTCTATCTGTAAATGTTTTAAAAACAGTAAACACAAGGTAATTATGTTTCTTCTGTGCCTTCAATTTCTGCATCTGAAAACTTCATGTTACAACTACTTAAAATTTTATAATTACTAAAGGGTGAAAAAAGTATGCATTTTAGGGTTAAGTAAGGTACTATTGTGTTACAGGATGTTAAGTAAGATGAGATGTAATTTGATTTATGCCTGTTTAAAACTTTTGCCTCTAAAATTTGTACTTGCATTTAATACTAATTGTGTTTAATTTCAAACCATTTAGATTTGATACGTAGCTAACACGTACATTTGTGTTAACTGTGTAGTTACTGTGTATTAGTGAATCATATATTGACTTTGCGTAAGTTGAGTGTTTAACAAATGTAGCAGATACTGCTCATACAAATTGAATTTGGTAAGCTATAGAAACCTTGGTATAGTTTTAATTTCAAATAGTTTACTGAGAAAGCAAGAGAAAAATTATAGGCTACAGTTAATTGTATTTTAATTTGTTCATATTCTCATTTTTCTCCTTTAGTCTACTAGGTTATTTTCCTGCATCTATTCATTTTTATAAAAAAGATTAATTTTAAACCTTTTGAATGTAGGATGAATAAAGATACTTATTTTACTCAAAAGATGAGATTATCAAGGTCAAGTCATTAAGGGGAGAATTCCCTTTCTTGATGTCTTAAGACTTGAAAAGTTTTTATTTTTAACTGTTTATGCTACTATTAAATTTTAAAGACTTTATTTTTTTCAAATTTCAAAAATTAGACAAATCACCTCATGCATTCATTTCATTCAGCAAGTTTACATTGTATGTCTACGATATACCAGGCATTGTGCTAAGTGCTGAGGCTTTGAAGGTGAACAGAACTATAGGTTTTTAGATTGTTGAGATTAAGACAGATATGCTTGCCATCAACATTTTTCTGGTTGATGGGTGAGCATATTGTTATAAATGTAAACATATTTACTCGTTCACCATATCAAAGGTTAAGCCTTGAATTATTTCAGATAAACGTTCTCTCATGTCATTTGGTAGTATTTGTATGTGTTTACATGTACTTGATTGATTTGTCTATTAACATATATATATAAAATATGTATTTTTCCTCCTATTCCAGGCACCAAGTATAGATGAAAAAGTAGATCTTCATTTTATTGCATTAGTTCATGTAGATGGGCATCTCTATGAATTAGGTAAGAGCTTTTAAAATTTATTCTGGGGAGAGAAATTGGAAATGGAATAGTCTGCATGATAAACAGGACTGTTGATATTTATTGTGTTTACTTAAATTAATTGATGGCCTAATGAAAAGTTTTTCATTTAAGACTTTCTAGAAAAAAAAATTTTTTTTTTACTGTTCAAGCACTTATACTTCAAGAATGTTTGCACACCACCTTTGCATTTTAGCAAAGCCGTAAATTAAAAATCATTATAGGAAACTCCTGTAAATCAGTTCAGCAGTCTTTACTAAATTATTGAGATAGTTATCATCAACATCTTCATGAGCCATCTTGATCCTGAAATTAGTTTTAAAACATAATGTAATATTCATGACTAATTTTTGTATTTGGTAATGAGTATCACTAGTTTTTAGGCTTTTTAACTATTCCTTTATGTTTCATCTGACTTTTTAAAAAGGACTTTACAGGATTCTTATGTTTTCTGGCAGTAGCTTTTTAAGGTGTATGTCTAAGTACCCTTGATTAATTACTTAGTATTTTGGTAACTGCATTTAGTTTTTAAAAAGTTTTAACTACAGGCAGACCATTTCAGGGACTATTTTGAGGAAATCCTCATAATTATAATTGCTTTATCCAGACAGAGAACTTCTTATGGTTCCTTCATAGCTGACATGTAGTGCTATAGTACTCATGAGTCCTTATTGTCCTTCTTCTTGAGACATTTTTGGATTAAAAAAAGGCCAAATAAAAAAAAAAGTGAAGTCTTTCTCATTATTAACTTGCCACTTTTATTTTCCTTGAAAACAAAGAGTTTTTTAAGTTAAAATTTTTTTTTTATTAAAGTGTGCATTCAACACTTTTGGTATCAGTTTCAGGTATACAGCTCAGCAGACAGACATTCATATAGGTTAAGGACAAAGAGTTTTGAAAGGACTCAGACTGTGACTATAAATGTGGTCCATAAAATTTAGATGGATTTCATATGTTTGGAATATGACAACAAAATCATATACTTTGTTAAAAAGAAATGGCTTTATTAAAGGGGACAAAGAAATACCATAATATTTATCAAAAGGTGTACCTTGATGGTTGTCTTCTATAGTAGAATGATTTGAGTAAGAATCAAAGTAAAATGAAATGAAATTGTTATGGGAGTATGAAACCGACCTGCTGAGCATTTTGGAAGGTAATTCAGTCTAGAAAATTTCTATAGAGAGGATGTAATAGTGATTGGGGATTTCAGTTATGTGACTGATTGTTGGGAACTTTGTTTCCACTCTGAATTTTGAATGATAAAGAATAACTAGTAGAAATGAAAATAAAGAGAGTACTGAGACTTACCAGATACATTCTGTTGACTTCAAGGATGTAGATTTAGAAAAGGCCAGAGAAATGATAAATATGATCTGTAATCAGGGCTTAAAAAGCAATGGTGGCTTTCAGGCTGAGAGACTTAGTAACAGAACAAACAGTGACATTGAAAAGATATTTAGGGGGAAAAAAATCTCTGATCATTTCAGTGGGATGCAGAGAATTGTCTAAAAAACTCAGTTTGACTGGTAAGCTAGCAGTAGAGGAAAGACATACATCAAGGGTAAGTTACATATGAAGAATGGTCCTCTTTTGTAGCATGCCAAGATCAACACAAAAGGATTTTAAGATTGATTTGAAATAAGAACATCAGAAAAGATGGGCAGAATGACTGAGATCTTGTTTGGTTTAGTTCTTTAGCAAGAAGAATGATCAATACGGCTGATACAAAATTAGAGCCCTTTAGGTATTACAGTCTTCAAATGAATTTAAAGAATTTCACAGTTCAAAAGAATAGTCATAATCTTTGAGATGTCAGAGAGAACAGGGATAAGTATAAGACAAATGAAGATTGGCAGTTGCAAGGGAAATTGACAGTAACCCTGGTGTGGATTCCTAATAAATTCAAAAGGAATGTTGAGCAAGAGGGATATTGAGTTAGTATACAGAAAATTGTAGATGATATGACATTATAAACAGTATAGGGAACCCAAAGAGTCCACCAAAAAACTATTAGAACTGATTAATTAAATCAGTAAAGTAACAGGGTACAAAAATAATATTCAGAAATTGATTGTATTTTTAAAGACCAATAACAAACTATCAGAAAGGAAAATTAAGAAAACAGTCCCATTTACAAGTGGATCAAAAAATATTCAATACCTACAAATAAAATTTTTAAAAAGATTTTTTTTTTAATTTATTTTTAGAGAGAGGGGAAGGAAGGGAGAAAGAAATATCAATGTGTGGTTGCCTTTTGCACACCCCCAACTGGGAACTGGGCCTGCAACCCAGGCATGTGCCCTGACTGGGAATTGAACCAGTGACCCTTTGGTTCACAGGCTGGCACTCAATCCATTGAGCCACATTAACCAGGGCCCTAGGAATAAATTTAACCAAGGAGGCAAAAGACCTGTACAAGATGTTGAAGAAAGAAATGAAGAAGATACAAATAAATGGAAGCACATACTGTGCTTATGTGTAGGAAGAATTAACATTGTTAAAATGTATGTTCTACCTAAAGCAATCTAGAGATTCAATACAATGCCTATCAAAATACCAATGGTATTTTTCACAGAACTGGAATAAGTAATCCTAAAATTAACATGAAACCACAAAAGACCCCAAATAGCTATAGCAAAGTTGGAGGAACATGCTACCTAATATTAAATTATATACAAGGCTATAACAATCAAAACAGCATTGTATGGGCCTAAAAACAGATACATATATCAATAGAACAGAATAGAAAGCCCATGCCTATATGCTCAATTAATTTACTATATAACAAAGGAGGCAAGAATATTCAATGGGGTACAGGCAGTCTCTTTAAGAAATTGTGTTGGGAAAACTGGACAGATACATGCAAAAAAAAAAGTGAAACTAGACCACTTTTTTATACCATATACAAAAATAAACTCAACATGGATTAAAGACTTACATATAAGACTTGAAAGTATAAATTCCAAGAAGAAACCATAGGTAGTAAGCTCTTTGACGTTGCTTTTAGTAAATTTCTTTTTTTTTTGGAACTATCTCATTGGGCAAAGGAAACAAAAGAAAAAATGGGACTACAGTAAACTAAAAAGTTATTGCACAAACAAAGGAAACCACCAATAAAATGAAAAGACAACCAAATGGAAGATATTCGCCAAGGATACATGCAATAAGTGGTTAATATCCAAAATGTATAAAGAACTTTTAGAGCTCAAAACACAAAAGCTCAAACAAACAATTAAAAAATGGACACAGGACCTGAATAGACATCTCTTCAAAGAGGACATACAGATGGCCAATAAACGTATGAAAAGATGCTCAACATCACTAATCATCAGAGAAATGCAAATTAAAACCACAATGAGGTACTATCTCACACCTGTTAGATTGGCTATCATCAATAAATCAACAAACAAGTGTTGGTGAGGATGTGGAGAAACGGAAACTGTCAAGTTCTGTTGGTGGGATTGTAAATTGTTGTAGCTACTATGGAAAACAGTATGGAGCTTCCTAAAAAAACCCTAAAAATAGGGCTACCTTATGAACCAGAAATTCCACTTCTAGGTGTTTATCCTAAGAAATCCAAAACACTAATTTGAAAAGGTACATACATGTTTATGTTCATTGAGCATTATTTACAATAGCCAAGCTATGGAAGCAACCTAATTGTTCATCAACATACAATTGGATAAAGAAGATGTAGCCCTGGTCCGGTGGCTGAGGTGGTTGCAGCATCGTCCCATGCAACAAAGGGTGGTGGATTTGATTCCCAATCAGGGCACATTGTTAGGTCGCGGGTTTGATCCCGGGGAGGCAACCAATCCATGTTTTGCTCTCTTTGAAAAATCCATGAACATGTCCTTGGGTGAGGATTATAAACAGCCAGCCAACCAACCAGTGAAATATTACTTGGCCATAGAAAAGAATGCAGTTTTACTATTTGCAACAACATAGATGGACCTAGAGGGTGTTATGCTAAGTTAGATAAGTCAGGTAGAGAAAGACAGATACCATATGATTTCACTTATATGTAGAATCTAAAAAAAAACAAAATAAATGAACAACAAATCAGAAACAGACTCAGAGAGAACAAACAGAAGGTTGCCAGATAGAAGGGGCATTGGAGGGCTGGGTGAAAAGGGTGAAGGGATTAAGAAGTATGAATTAGCAGTTATAAAATAGTCACGGGGAAAAATACAGCATAGGGAATATAGACAATAATATTGTAATAACCGTGTATGGTGCCAGGTTGGTACTGGAAATATCAGGGGAGCACTTGTTAAAGTATATGATTGCCTAACTACTGGCTGGACACCTGAAAATAATATAATATCGAGTGTCAACTGTAATTGAATCATATAAAAATAATTTTTAAAAATGATTAAAGAAATCAAAATGAAAAAATAGTGACTAAGAGAATAGCATATGGTTTTTAAGAAAAAAATCATTTCTAAGTAACCTTATTTTTTTATTTGTTTGGCTAATTTTCAACTATATTTTTCTTTAAATGTAGTATCTCTGAGTCCAAGTCTATCACTAGATATACATATTGACTCAAAAAATTGTATTATCTTCAGACACCATGGAGTTATAGAAGGGATTGTGTTTTATGAATTTTACTGGAAGTGTCACAAGATAACTGAGATTATTAATTTGGATATACAGGGTGGGGCAAATATAAATTTACAGTTGTGAGTATGTGAAATACAGCGTTTATTCTGGTATTATTATTTATTAATTATTGTAATATTTTCCATATGAACAACTGTAAACCTTCTTTTGTCCCACCCTGTGTAGAGTATCAGTTATCTTTGAGTAGCATGAATTTATATAATAAATTCTGGACCTCTTTTTTTTATAGTATTGAAAAAAGTACTAGTTTAGTCAAGGTGATTATAATTATGGTTAATTATTTTTGATTGTCAGTAAAGTAATCCTGGTTTACTTAGATTTTTGCTCTATACTACTCCCTTGGTGGTCCACAATTAGCAGAGGTAATGTATAAACCCGTGCTGGCTCCCTTTCACTAATGTAAACATGTCAGTCTTACTTAGAAACCCTCTACTTTCACTTTTAAAGTGAACAAAGAATGTTTTCATATTTTTGAGGGTAAAAACTGGGATCATAACTTTAAAAGAATCTGACTTACTAATTTTGCATATTCTTTTTAGGAAATTAAAGCCAATATGTATGTCTAATAAATTCTTTTATGAAGATAACTTAGGCTTTCAAACATGGAAGCAAGGTTTTAGTGACTTTTGATGTCAAAAAATATTCATAGGTAGCACATTTAAAATATTTGCTTTAGGATATATTATTTGAAGTATTGTTTAACTTTTGCCTTAGTGTGAGGTGAGTGGAAGTTGAATGTGCATTATCCTGTACAAACAACTAAACGTTCAGCTGTCTATTTTTTGCAGATGGACGGAAACCATTTCCAATTAACCATGGTGAAACTAGTGATGAGACGTTATTAGAGGTAACAGTAAAACTTGTTGGCCTACTCTAAGTGTTGTTAATGTTCTTGTTATATTTGAAACATCTCTGAAGATCACTTGTATAACATTTTATCTATATTTGGATACTTCCTTGTCCTTACTGTCTTGGAAAAAATCCAAAAAGAAAAATTGGAACTAGTGTTAACCTATAGCAAATAAAGAAGTTTTCAAAGTTCTTTGTGAACAAGTATCAGATTTGAAAAAAGCAAGAATAGTTTTGAGTTTCACATCGTATCCTGTGATTCATTAAATCCGAGATACCATCATTTGTACCTTGATCCTGATTTCGGAGATTGTTGAATTTATGACCAAATTATGTGGCTTAGAATCAATGAAATGTGTAATTTTCAGGTTAAAAGTTTCTTAAAAACATTTTGAGAAAGAATACTGATTCTATCTTATACTGTTGTACTAAGCTAAGTAGTCCGCCACCCATCGTTCTTCTGATGTGCTCTTAAGTCATTTTTCACTTGGAGAAAGAAGTCTACAGTATAACGTTAGTATGAATTAGGAAAATATGAAACACTTATCATTTGTAAGTAAAACAAATGTTTATAAACTGAAAAGTTACACATTTTTCCCCCTATAGGATGCGATAGAAGTTTGCAAGAAGTTTATGGAACGTGACCCTGATGAATTGAGGTTCAATGCAATTGCTCTTTCTGCCGCATAGTTTGTCAATAATGGAAACACCAGATACTGTATTATTTGCAACAAAAATTCAATTTTCGCTGCCATACCCTAACTCAAATTTTTGATATTTTCATTAACTTGACTGATTAAACTTCATGTGATTAAACTTTGACTTAACCTGTGTTTTTTATTACTTTTGTTCCAAATTGAAGCTGCATTTCTTGTCTTCCCTTTCCTTCTTGTGAAGGATTTACTTTGTTTTATGACTAGCAATAGTTTTCTTATTCTCTTTAAAATTTAATGGTATGTTTTATAGGGGGACAGAGACACAATTCCATCTGTGTAGTACATATATGTATCATACATGGCAACATTTATTTAACACACATTTGAGCATCTACTTGTAAAGAGCTGGACACTCTTCAAGGTGCTGGAGTTACAGCTGTGAACACTATTGACAAGTTCCATAATCTTGGGGCTTATATTTTTGTGATAAGAAACAGATAAACACATTAATAAGATACATGTCAATAACAGATGCTACACAGAAAATTAAAGTCAGATTTGTGTTAGCCAGTGACTGAATGCATACTTTAGATTTTGGGGTTAGTGAAGTCTTCTGTGAGGAGGTAACTTTGAAGCTGAGCTCTGAATAGCAAAAAGTAGCCAGTAATAGAAGTGGCAGGGAGGAGTCGAGGGAACAATTAACGCAGAGTCCCTGCAGTGGGCCTACCTCAGTGTGTTGTAACCAGAGAGAAGATTCATATGGTCAGAGTATAGAAAGTAATGGAGACGGAAGGAAGAGACGAGGTCAGACAGGGGAGGGGGGCTCATGATACAGGAACACAGGAAAAGCACATGGATTTATTTCAGCCGTGATAGTGAACCTTTGGAGGGTTTTAAGTGAGAGTGACCTGATTGGATTGATAATTTTCAGAGAGCACTGACTAGTCTGTGGATAGTACATTGGGGAGGGGATAAGAATGGAGGGAGAGAGACTTGTGAGGAGCCCACTATATTTGTTCAGGGAGCGATGGTGAGGGCCAGGTCGTAAAAGTACAGTAGTTCCCCCCGTACCTGGGGTTTTGCTTTTCATGGTTTCAGTTACCTGTGGTCAGACACAGTCTGAAAATATTAAATGGAAAATTCCAGTAATAAGGTGTGCACCAGTGTGAGTAGCACGATGAAACCTCGCACTGCCCAGCTGCCTCCTGCCTGAGACATGAATCATCTCTTTGTCCATCGTTTCCACACTGTTTACACTTTATTAGTCACTTAGTGCCATCTCAGCAGCAGAGCCCCCTTCAAGGTGTCTCAGTGCTTGTGTTCAAAGGCGAGTTGTGATGCTGGCGACATGGATATGCCAAAGAGAATCCATGAAGTGCTTCCTGTAAGTGAAAAGTGTGCGTGTAGAGGGAAAAACAGGATATGTATAGGGTTTGGTACTATCCACAGTTTCAGGCATCCATTGTGGTCTTGGAATCGATATCCCATGGATAAGGGGAAAATAAGGTAGTAGTAATTTAGATAGAGGCCTGTGAGCGAATTTGGGGTCTTTGTTGAAGAAGGAAGGCAGTGGAATGGTGGCAGGGTGTTCACTGAGCTGGGTCAAAACAGGGTTGGTGTGATGGCAACGTCCTGTATCTTTTCAGGGAGGGCATTGGTTACACAGGTGTAATACGTTTATGAAAACGCATTGCATTGTTCATTGAAAATCTGATAAAATTGAGTGTAAATGTTTATACAAGCTTCGCTGAGTTAATGTAGGTTCCTGAGGCAGTAACATGAGCTAAGTGGTATTTTAGGAACAGTCATAGGGAAGTGGCTTGCAGAATGGACTAGATGTTTGCTATTCAAAGTATGGTTACAGCAGCATTACTTGGAAGCTTGTTAGAAATGAAGACTCTCAGACCCCACCTTTAGACCTACTAAATCAGACCTGCATTTTCAATAAGATCCCAGAGTGAATCTCATGCATATTAAGTTTGGGACTATAATGAGGAAGGTCACTTTGGAAGAGATTTAAATTTACCACCTTTTTATGATGAAGAGTGTTTGAAGGAAGTGGTGGATGGTAAGAGGGATAAAGAAATACTTTGAAACAATATAATAAACTGTGTAGCTGATGCTTTTGTCATGCCAATTAACCTAGTAGTCTATCCTTTTGTTAGATTGTTTGCATTTTGTATTTATATCTATCCGGTATATCATCTTAACTATTTTAAATATTTCTAAACAGTTTTCTGCCTGTTGTCCTGGTCTTTTCTTACTATATAATTTCTTGATAGGTTGTTAATGGCATCTCATTAAGAATTTACATAGTTTCTCAATGTTTAATATGAGTAATATTAACTTGGCTGACTGTTAATGGGTAGGAAGAGTTTGAGATTAAGTACCTTTTGAAAACGTTGGATTAAAGTTAATTTTTTAAAATGCAAATACATTGGATGGGGTAGTTGCAGAACTCAGAATTTAAAAAATATTATGAATATCATTTCTAAACATTTTATGAGCAAGATTTAGAACTAGCATTCTTTTGCACACACTTTAGGGTTACAATCCTTTGTGGAATATAAAATTTGAAATTTTCTTTTGCTTCTCCCTTCTCAGGTTATGTCTAAAATTTTAGTCCTCCAACTCCTTTCCTACAATACTAAGTTTAGACACTTCTTAAAACTTAGCACTTGTAGGCTAAGAGATTAATTTTGCTTGGAAACTTGTAGAGAAACACTAAGTGATCAAGTCATGGGTCATTTCTGTGTATTGCTGTTAATGATCATAACATATTTGGGGAAATGGAACTTAAATGAGAAGTGAAACTTTAAGTGTTTTGCTTGGTGGACTTTTGGAAACTGACTAAACATCACCTTTCACTGGATGTAGTGGTTTGTTTTAAATTATTGAAACAGAGGAGCATTTAAGAACATATGTATATATAACCTCTAATGTTTTCCATGTTCACTTGTGACTAAACAGAAATTATATGTATTCTATGGCAAATCAAACTTTAATATGTCTTAAATGGAAATCATCAATTCTGCATAAAAATTATTTAAAGAAATCTGATTTATTGGTGTACAGTGCTTATTAGGTAACCTTTATAAGTGGGTTGTACAAACATAAAACCCGCTTATTTCATTTAATAAAAACACAGTTTGAGATTTTTAGCCATTAATGTTTGTCTAATAATGTAGCTTTCAAAACAAAGCATCTACAAGCTTACTATTCCTATGTCGGTGCTGTAAGACAATTGTAAAGGGCATAGTTTCATCACTTTTTAAACTTTTTATAGAAATGTATTTCTTTTAGGGAAATCTTACCTACATGTATATGTGTACATTTACATACACATGCAAATATATATTTGTATGTACATGCATTACCCAGGAACTAACATGCACATGTATATGTACATATATATTTATGTGCATATATATACATACATGCTCACACACATTCATATTTTGAATAGGTAAGTAACTTTGGTCCAAATTATCTGTGTATTATTTAAATCTTTGAAGTTAAAGCACTTTGAAGAGTAATCATTATAAATGTTCTTCGATCTAATTTAGAAGGCTTTGTACACACATACATAAAGTTTTGTGGTAACATCTTATAATGAAGTCACTTGTGCTCTCAACAAAATTACAGCTAAAAGCCAGTGTAGAATATACTGAGTTTTTCAGATTGCAGAAATTAAGTTTTATCATTTAGTTTTCTTCTTTTGATTTCAATTTTTTAATGTCAAGTGCATAAACTATTGTATAGGAGGATCAGTGTCATGAAGGGTATTTATGTTTTCAGTGTCAGTGGTGTCAGCTGATCAGATCAATCCACCATACCTTAGTTTCCTGTTATGTTCTTACTCATTTTGCTTTTGAATAAAATTTACTCGAAATCTTTCTCTTGACTTCTTTTTTTAGGAGAGTTATTCTGAACCTGTCTGTTGCTTTCACCTACTGGATAGAGAATCCTCAGTAAGACATTTCCACTGTCCACACATAGATATTCCATGGGAGGTTATGTAGACAATAAAGGCTATATATTGTGAGCATTACCTTATTGTCTAATTGATAAGGTGGTTGGTTATCTTTGGTTTAGTGGCATTAGATTTACAAAACAATGCTATTTTGCAAAATGGATTATTTAAAATAAAATACTTAGAAATATGTAATGAAACTTTTTAATCTAGAAGACAGATATGAGTATAAATTGAATAACTTAAAAATCCATGTGGTGAAAAATAAATCCCAAATGATATGAATGACCCATTTCATTCTCAGTGCCCTTTATCAACATATGAACAACGTTGGTATTTATGTTCACTAGTGTATCCTTTAAGATCTCTGTGTCCTACACATGTTCAGTGAGAACAAGATGAAAATAAGTTGCTTGAGGCTTTATTTGTATCCTAAACATGAAAGACTTGAAGCACGTGCATGCAAAGGTTGTAAATTAGACTATTCTTAAAGAATGTTGTAAAACCTGTCTGATGAAGAGTTGTATTGCCTACTGAGAGTTTACCTGTGGTAGAAGATGTCAAAGGACTGCATTTGAATTTTCGTTTAGGGCTAAGCAGTAGAAAGTTACTTTTCTTTATTCTGCCCTGAATAGTAAATATTTGAATCCAAAAGTTCCTCCTTTCCGCCACCAGTGTAGAAATATACACACTTGATAATAGTGTATAGAGGTAAAGTTTAATAGTTAATATTTTTTGCTTATATGATTCAGTGGTAAGCCCAGGCTGGTATGGGTCAGTGGATTGAGTGCTCGCATGCAAACCAAAGGGTCATCAGTTCGATTCCCAGTCAGGGCACACGCCTGGGTTGCGGGCCAGGTCCCCAGTAGGGGACATGTGAGAGGCAACCACACATTATTTTTTCTCTCCCTCTCTCCCTCCCTTCCCCTCTCTAAAAATAAATAAATCTTTTAAAAAAAGATTCAGTGGTAAGGTCTTAATATGAAGTTGTTTATGCTCTCAACAAAATTACAATACAACTAAAAACCAAGTATAGAATATACTGAGTTATGGGGAAGTTACATTGTTCACATTTTTTACCATTGAAACCAAAGCATGGTATTTCATGGTCTGGGTATAATTTAAAAGATGTGTTCTTTTGATAAACTGATTTATAAACAAAATGCAAATACCTTAAATATTTCTTC